TGCACACTTTTGCCAGCAATGACAAAAATGGAGAAATCTGCTCACACCGATGCTATTTTAATTCCAAAGCCTATTGCAATTTCTACTGGAAACATTAAGGTAGGAGCTGTGAGTAATCACATGGCTACATTCCTTTCCTATCTAATCTACTGACTTATATTGCCTCCATTCCGCATAGTATTTGAGAACCTAATGCACACTCTACAGATGCAAGTAGGCCTTATGCATGTGCATCTCTCTACTGACTTCAATAGAATTACTGATGAGTGAAATTCACTGGACCCACATAGAGCCTAAGAATTCAAGCTTTATGCAGCTGGAGTACAGGTCAATTGGGGATACAGAACCCACACCCAGACCCCTCAAAGCAGAGCCAGTGGGCTATTCATGATCTGGAGTAGCCACTACACGAGGGGGGTCACAATCATGCAAGATGATGTAGAGGCACTCTGATGCTTTACTTTGTAAGGTGTAAAGAAACTCAAGAAACTCTCAAGAAACTCCCTGAAAAAGCACAAGAACAATTCCGGACAGACACACCCCTAGAATCCCTACCAGGGGTACTCTATTGGCTACCCAGATCTATAAACCTGAAAATCCTGGACGCCCCATCATCTCAGCCATTGGCACTCTGACAGCAGGATTGTCTGGCAATGTAGACTCCCTCCTCAGGCCCTACGCTACCAGCACTCCCCGCTATCTTAGAGACACCAATGACTTCCTGAGGAAACTACAATCCATCGGTGACCTTCCTGAAAACACCATCCTAGCCACTATGGATGTAGAAGCCCTCTACACCAACATTCCACACAAAGATGGACTACAAGCCATCAGGAACAGTATCCCAGATAATGTCACTGCAAACCTGGTGGCTGAACTTTGTGACTTTGTCCTCACCCATAACTATTTCACATTTGGGGACAATGTATACCTTCAAATCAGCAGCACTGGTATGGGTACCCACATGGCCCCACAGTATGCCAACATTTTTATGGCTGACTTAGAACAACGCTTCCTCAGCTCTCATCCCCTAATGCCCCTACTCTACTTGCGCTACATTGATGACATCTTCATCATCTGGACCCATGGAAAAGAAGCCCTTGAGGAATTCCACCATGATTTCAACAATTTCCATCCCAACATCAACTTCAGCCTGGTCCAGTCCACACTAGAGATCCACTTCCTGGACGCTACAGTGCTAATAAGTGATGGTCACATAAACACCATCCTATACTGGAAACCTAATGACCGCTATGCTTACCTACATGCCTCCAGCTTTCATCCAAACCACACCACACGATCCATTGTCTACAGCCAAACTCTACGATACAACCGCATTTGCTCCAACCCCTCAGACAGAGACAAACACCTACACGATCTCTATCAAGAATTCTTACAACTACAATACCCACCTGCTGAAGTGAAGAAACAGATTGACAAAGCCAGAAGAGTACCCAGAAGTTACCTACTACAGGACAGGCCCAACAAAGAAAAAAACAGAAAGCCACTAGCCATCACCTTTAGCCCCCAACTAAAACCTGTCCAACGCATCATCAAGGATCTACAACCTATCCTGAAGGACGACCCATCACTCTCACAGATCTTGGGAGACAGGCCAGTCCTTGCTTACAGACAGCCCCCCAACCTGAAGCAAATACTCACCAGCAACCACACACCACACAGCAAAAACACTAACCCAGGAACCTATCCTTGCAACAAAGCCCGTTGCCAACTGTGTCCACATATCTATTCAGAGGACACCATCATAGGGCCTAATCACATCAGCCACACTATCAGAGGCTCGTTCACCTGCACCTCTACCAATGTGATATATGCCATCTTGTGCCAGCAATGCCCCTCTGCCATGTACATTGGCCAAACTGGACAGTCTCTACGTAAAAAAATAAAGGGACACAAATCAGACATCAAGAATTATAACATTCAAAAACCAGTCGGAGAACACTTCAATCTCTTTGGTCACTTGATTACAGACCTAAAAGTGGCAATTCTTCAACAAAAAAACTTCAAAAACAGACTCCAAAGAGACTGCTGAATTGGAATTAATTTGCAAACTGGATACAATTAACTTAGGCTTGAATAAAGACTGGGAGTGGATGTGTCATTACACAAAGTAAAACTATTTCCCCATGTTTATTCCCCCAACCCCCCACTGTTCCTCACGCTTTCTTGTCAACTGCTGGAAATGGCCCACCTTGATTATCACTACAAAAGGTTCCCCCCCACCATTCCCCACTCTCCTGCTGGTAATAGCTCACCTTACCTGATCACTCTTGTTACAGTGTGTATGGTAACACCCATTGATTCATGTTCTCTCTGTATATAAAATCTCCCCACTGTATTTTCCACTACATGCATCCGATGAAGTGAGCTGTAGCTCACGAAAGCTTATGCTCAAATAAATTTGTTAGTCTCTAAGGTGCCACAAGTACTCCTTTTCTTTTTGCGGATACAAACTAACACGGCTGCTACTCTGAAATTTGTAAGGAATGTGGATCCTGTGTGATATAAGGTAGCAATATATACATGATATAAGGTAGCAATAACCATCTGATAAATTGCAGAACCAGATGATAAAGGAAATAATAAATCCTAGTCCCCTGGTACTGCTACTGACTGACTCATTTCATTTGCCCTGGTAGGACTGCCAAGCAGATCCTTGAGGAAGCCTGCCTGCCATGCCCAACATTATAGTGCCTGAGCTGGTACTTGTTCTGGATGTGGAACTCCCTTTGAAATCAATGGAAGCTTTCATGTGAAAAGATGGCAGGATCAGGCGCCAGTATCTTTTTCAACTCTGAGTAATGAAAGCAGCCATATGAAATATCTAGACATCCTAGTCCTGCCTTGTGCAGCAAGCCCACAACATAAAGTGAATGCCTTTCTGGGTTTTTTTGAATGGTTGGTGCACGTTTGTTTGTGTGTGTCTGTATATCTGGTGTCCATGTCTAAATATGTATGTTTGTTTGAGAGAGTGTCAATATTAATGGAGAGAAAAAATACTAGATCACAAAAAGTGATTTCTAAAAAATAAAAAGGGCTATAATGAAGAAGTGTGGGATTTCCCAGTGGATTTCTGCCCTCCAAATTTTCATTTGTAGTGTACATAACATACATTCCAGCCACTTCCAAATTACCACTATGTGTATTGCTTTGCTTTCCCATTTCTGCTTTGGGGGTCTCTACTTCTACTTAAATGGAATCAGACAAGTGTGAAAGAACATGCATACTTTGTTAATCAGTAATAATCTTTCAAGTATTTTCTGATAATCCCCCAAGAAGCCTAAGAAATGTCTTTATTTCTTCCAAGCAATTTCCTAGCTGGTTCATTTTGCTGTTAGTAACAGTAAATACATTATATGCACACACTCATCCCCTTTTACACAGAAAGACTTCATGGGACAAATTTTATTAGGTTCAATATACTGTAAATCATTTCATTCTTGTGTTGTTGTTATTCCACGGTGGAATAATGTAATATTGTTACAACTGAGTAACTCTGGGGTTCTCAAACTGGGTGTTGCGACCCCACAGGGGGTCGCAAGGTTATTACGTGGGGGGAGGGAGGTTGCAAGCTGTCAGCCTCCACCCCAAACTCTGCTTCACCTCCAGCATTTATGATAGGGCTAAATATAAAAAAGTGTTTTAATTTATAAGGGGGTCGCACTCAGAGGCTTACTGTGTGAAAGGGGTCACCAATACAAAAGTCTGAGAACCACTGGAGTTATTAATGAATTTGGCCCCATACTGCTAAATCAGCCTAAGAACAAAACTAATACTCTTCATTGCATGTTGGTCTATAACTTGTTTGATGATGAAAATAGGATAGCAGTGCCCTTCTGATGCAAAACTGACCAAACCAACAGGACATTAAAAATGTTCCTCTTGGGCCCTGTTTTGCAAACCCATATGAAAATAGTTACTTTACACACACAAGTAGTTTCACCGCCTTCGGGTACAATGGGACTGCTCATGTGAAGTAAACTGCTTCACTTCTGTAAGGGTTTGCAGGATTGGGTCCTTCGTGCCCAGCAATTAACTACTGTGGTGCTGGGCAATGTAGAAAAACCCAAGACATGTATTATTGACTACTGCTTTAGGTTTATTTTCTTAGGCTCATTGGATTAGTTTACCAGTCCTGTGCTGTTATTTTAGGCTGGTAATTTACTCACCCCGAGTATATACCGAATTTTAACTGTCAAACGTGTACCTAGACATAGGAGGCGTTGTAAATGTAAGCAGTGTAGACCCACTTCAGGGGAAGCCACACAGTCCACCATTCTCGGGATGTGATCATAGAAACACACTATGAAATAACAGGGAGTAATAATGTCCCTACTCAGGAGGGCCCATCCCCCCTCCCTTCTTCAATGTTACAGTTGTTTCCTTCTAATAAATTGGTTGAGACTATTATAAATCCCCCCTCGAAATCCCCAGTAATTGCTTTCAAATGTTGGCACCTCTGGAAAACTCTGAGCCTGAGAGGATTAAATGTTTCTCTCCAGAAATAAATGCCCTGATTGCAGCACCTTTTCCTTCAGCTCCCAACAGGGAGCAGCAGCAACTTAACTATTCCCCCCCCCCAGCCCAGGCAGCAGCTCCAGCTCCACGCCCGCCCTGCCGCAGCGGAGCTAGCCCCGCGCTCACGTCCCAAGGTCACCGCGCTGCCCGGCGCTGAGGCGAGGGCCGCCGGCAGGGCCGCGTGCGCACCCGCGCTGCAGGTGTGGGGCCGGCCCGCCGCTCTCGGGGAGGGCGGGCGCGGTGGGAGTCGCTCCGGTTCGCATCCCCAGGGCGCGGGAGGGCAGCGCTCGCTCGCGCATCCCGGGCGCCCTGCCGGGGTCCCGGCCAGCCGGGGGATGGGCTGCGGGCCAGCCCGGCTGCCGCTCTGCCGGTCCCGGGCTGCGCTCCGGCGGCGGCGGCCGGAGGGAGGATGGCGACGGCAGGTTATAAAGGGCTCGCTGCCTCTCCCCGCCCCCTGCGCGGGCTGAGCCGGAGTCGCCCTCCTCCCCCCCGCCGGCCTCAGACGGGGGCATGGAGTTGGCGGGAGCCTATAAAAGCCCCTGACGGCGAGCCGGGGCCACCGTCCTGCAGGAGCCGGCCAGGCCAGGAGAACGAGACCATGTCCCATCACTGGGGTTACGCCAGCCACAACGGTGAGCGAGCCGGCGCGCCGGGCTCCATCCCCCGGGGGTCCCCGCTGGGCTTCCCCGGCCGGCTCCCGGCTGCTCCGCCGGCACCTGCCGCAGCCACCGCGCGGCTCAGCCTGCGCCGCTGCTCTTTGCCCCTTGGCAGCGCCGGCTCCGCTGAGCGCGGGGCGGTGCGGGGCATGCCCTGCCGCGGAGCCGGGCGGTGCTGCGGCCGGCACGGGGACCGCATTGCCTCTGGCACCGGGGGGGCGGGGGGGGGGGGAGCCGGCTTGGGGCGCTGTGGAGGTGGAGGGACCGGCCCCAGCGCGATCTACCCCACTGAAGCCCATGGCAGCGCCTCCGGATTTACTGAGCTGAGATCGGAAGCCGGCCCCAGGAGCCCCGATTGCTCTAGTTGGGGGGGGGTCTGGTGACGTGCGGTCACTGCCCCCCTGGAAGTGCGGTTCCTGGCAGAGGCATTGCCACGCAGGTGCCCGGTCCCAGGGCGTTCCTCCTTCTTCCAGCCCCACGAGCTCTTTCCCCAACCGCTGGACAGTTCAGCCGAGGGTGGCTCTGTCCTTTGCGATGAAGTTTCTCTCATAGATCTGGACTCGTGGGGAGGCTGGAGCATCTTCTGGTTTCTCCTGACAGCAGTACTGTAGCGGAGCTCTTCAAATCAGATGGGGAGCGGGGGAGAGGTCAGACCTGTGTCCCCTGCACATCCCAACCCCTGCTAAATGCAGTGAGGGGCTGGGCGGGCAATCAGCGCAGGATCGGGCCCTCCTGCGTCCACACCGCATCCGCGTCTCGTGAGTTCTCTCATTTAAGGCGCTTGAGACCAGCGTCTCCCTAACGTGAATGGTCAGTTCTCAGGATCTCCGGGTTTATGTGGCAAGGGCCGGAGGTGGCGAAGACGGGTGCATCGTTAAATATTGATGCAAGAGTTAAAGCAGCAAATGCACTTATAGCATCAACTCCTCTATTGCATTTGTTATAAATTATTTCCACCCTCTGTGTCTTGCCTGCATCTTTTTCACGTTGGATTTTTGTGTGCTTTCTCTTGTAGGACCTGCTCATTGGCATGAGAATTTCCCCATTGCCAATGGAGAGCATCAGTCCCCTATTAATATCAACACCCAGTCCGCCCAGTATGACGCTTCTCTGAAGCCTTTGCATGTCCATTATGACCCCTCCACAGCTAAAAACATCGTCAACAATGGGCACTCTTTCAATGTGGAGTTTGACGACTCTGCTGACAAATCAGGTGAGTCCTCGCTTTCAGGTGCTCCTGTAAGGGATTGAAATTGGACAGATTGGGAAGGGGGGAGAGGATTTTAACACTTTCCTCCTTATCTTCTACTAAAACGATGTGGTGAAATCCGGCTCCCGCTGAAGTCAATGGGAGTTTTTACCTCATCGGGTCAGGATTCAACCCATAAAGATTCATTCACTTCATTTAGGCATCCTTTGCTCTAATTACAAGAAAGTTGATATTTTATGTACTGTCTTGACCTGGCCTGATCCAAAGGCCACTGAAGTCAAAGGGAATCTTTTCAGTGAATTCAGTAGGATTTGCATCATGCCTCAAATGCACAATAGACAGAAGTAAGGTAATTTATCAGGGATGACAAAAGTGTATTTCTCCACCTGAAAAATACTAGCTTTGAGTAATACCTGCTAAATGGTTACAGTAAAAAGGCAGGATGCACTGCAGGAAGAAAAGGACAACAGAATAGCAAAACAACTAAAATTAGCAACTTGAAATGATTTGGAAATAGCTTCTTCAGTTTTATATTTTTGCTGCCAACAATTGCAGTGCAGAAAAAGGGGGCATCTCTCCAGGTCAGTACTGGGAAAGCCAGGAAATGAGTTTGATATTCTCTAATTTAAATCCGCATCAGCCCTGGCATTCCCTGACTCTGTGCTTTCTAGATAAAGATAGCAATACATGTAGCATGTTCCCACACAGTTCACTGAGAGCTAGCTATTCTGCGGTATTTCAGGAGCCTGTTCATTGTACTGTACTGACAAGGGCCTGATCCTGAAAACCTCTATACACATGATCTGTCCTTACTCACAGAAGTAGTCCCATTGAAGTGGATGAGAGTATTTGCATGAGTCAGGGCTACTTGTATGAGCAAGGGTTTTGCAGGCTTGCTCCCTAATTGTAATTTCTCAGCTGGCGGGATTTGCAGAAATCACCACCCTTCTGCAATGAATGTGCCTCTATATTTAATTTAGAAAGGGGAAAACAATCCCTCTGTAGAGACAGTAGCTGCCTTCTCTAGACACTGCCTTATTTAACTTGCTTGAGCAAGTGCCCTGTTTTTCCTAAGCAGTTCCTTGGCAATGTCATTTAGGGGATGGTGCTGAAAACAAATTATCAGTGCCTACAATATTTTGTGTGTGTGTGTGTATGAACCTAGGCAGTATTGTAGTTGTTCAAAACTATAATGAAAACTCAACAACATATTTTCCAACCTGCCTTTAGAGTAAATGGGACTAAATGGATAGCTAAATGTTTCACAAATGTATAGACAAGGATATACAATTCAGTCAGAACATCCATTGTAGCATGAATATCTGTTTTGCTTCAAGAAAAGGAGTACTCTGACTCACACAGTTTTGTAGTGCCCAATTCTGTGCTGAGAACTCTTAAGTCCTGTTAAAGTTGGTTGGAATTGACAGTGCTCAGCGCCATGCAGGTTCAAACCTTTAGTGAATTTTAACTATGTCATGAGAAGTGGGAAACATGATGAAATTGCAAAAAGCAGATTTGCTTTTCAGGGCCGCATCCTTCTCCGTGTGTGTGTGTGTGTGTGTGTGTGTGAAGGATGTTGTGAAACTTAATTTAAATTCAGTAACTCAGAAACAGAAAACTGCCAGGGTATATAAAAGTTTTCATAAATATCCTTTGGAAGAACAGCTCCTAATGAGAAAAAAAATAGCACAGAAATTGAATATCTCTATTCTGCGAGAATGATTCACACACAGCTACAGCTTGCAGAGAGTGGGAGGAGGAGGGGATGAGAGTGAAAATACAGTAGCTCTACAACTCATCAAACACTGGACTGGAAAAAAAAAACATTATACAGATATCTGTATACATTCACCTGAGGGTAGATTCTGTACTCTCTGATAGTCTTGAAAATCCCTGTACATAAAATCTAGCTGGCTGCACACTTAATTGATTAATTTGTATGCATTTAACTAGTTAGCCTAATTTTACAATACAACAAAAGCTGCTTATGACTTGCTTACATTTCATGCACTTCCTATATACAACATTCTGATGCTGAGCTTGATTATTTGTTTACCAAGTTCCTGGTTAAACATAATGTAGCAAGCACAAGGAGAAATTATAAGAATTTATTTTATGTGATGTCCCTTTTTACATTAAAAATTAAGGACCTAATCCTGCAAATACTTATTAAAAGGTGTAGTTCTCACGCCGATGAGAAGTCCCATTTATGTCTGTGGGACTACTTAATGTAGTAAGCACACCATGAAGTAGTAAGTAAGGTCCTGATTTGTGACTAATTTTACACACAAGTAATTTTATGCAAAGAAGTAGTCCCATTGGCCTAGATCCTACAAGCACTTAAACATGTGCATAGTTTGGCTTGTGTGACTAATCCCATTGAAGTCAACAGCACTACTCTTGTGACTAAGGTTATGCATATACTTAAGTGTTTGCAGGATGAGGACCTTATTGTTTACAGAATCAGGGCATGTCCCTGAAATTACAGGCAGAGGTTCTAATGTCTTAGTAAAAATAGGTGCAAGAGCAAAAAACGTTTTTGGATAAAATCTTTTGGAATAGCATCATTGTGACCATTATGCATTTCTCTGATTCAGACAATATTTCATGTGGTCATTATTAATAAAATAATCATTAAAATAAACAGAAATTAGAGATCAGAATATCCAGATACCTGATATAAAACATAGCCCCTAGAAAAGAAAAGGTTCCATATATATTTGTTATATAATGCATTGCATGTGTCTCCTGCATAACTTGTTGAGTGCCTAAACACTAATGCAAAAAAAATGTATTTAAAAATCATCCCTCTCCCTTGCTGAGGCACCAAGGTATTGTGCAGTGTAATAAAAGTCCAAAATAAATGTTTAAATCTCTTCAAAATAAAAACAATTCCATGTGTCTTTTACGAATACTCTATTGTCATAGGGGAAAAAAAGTCTTTAGTCTGCTCTTTTAGAAAATTTGCTCTTTGGTAATAACAGAAGCTTATATGTGCATAATTCTTGATTCAATTTCTATTTTCATTATTCCAGTATCCCAAGCATGTTCAGTATTCTAAAAAACTCCTTTGTATAGTAATGGTTTAAGATTTCTAAACTAAATCATGATAGAAAAAGGTATGTGATAGCTTCAGAAAATTTAAATTTTTAGAAACCACTAAGTATTGAGAGTAATCTTTTTAAAAAAAATGTTTTATAAAAGCTCTCGGCCCAATCCTGCAGCTCTTACTTACAAGTGTAGTTCTTCTGAAGTTCTTGGAACTACTGGTAAGGATTAGATGGGCAGGATTAGACCCTGGGCTTTTTAAAGTGTGTCCTTAATATTTTACGGTTACTAGTTCAGCCTTAGAAATGCTGTAAGTAGTGAAATGCCCACAAATCAATAGTGACATTTATTTTACTCAAGCGTTTTTCTATTTTGAAAGGCCACGATTTTCCCTTAGTATGGACATTTTATGTATTTTGTTTTGTTTGCAATTTTACGGAAAGCTTTCTGAGACTGTTTGTACCAAGCAGGATACAAACTACTCCAATTATTTTTATCTTCTCTTCATCCACTTTAATTCTTGTGGCTGAACATTTTATTTGGCTTCTCCGTGTCTACACATCATTTTGGAGGAAGCAGGAGTGAGCTTCCCAGCCTGGGTCAACAGACTTCTGCCAGCGGGGCTCATGTTAGCACTCTAAAAATAGGTTTGTAGACACTGTTTGAAGTTGCGGCTTGAGGTAGGAGCTCAGGCTCTGAAGTTCACCCCACCCCTCCTCAGGCTTCATAGCCCAGGCTGCACCTTCAAAGCAACTGTCCATACAGCTATATAGAAAGTGCTAATGTGAGCCCTGCTAACCCGAGTACGTCGACCCAGGCTGGGAGGCTTGCTCTCACTTGCTCCAAAATCCTGTATAGACATACTCTGTGGTCTTTTAGTAATAGTGAAAGTGTGAGTATTTCCTAGCAGTGGCATTTAAAATGTCTGACACTTTAAATAAGGGCAAATAGTCTCTTTGCTACAAATACCATAGGGCAGTGGTTCCCACACTTGTTCCGCTGCTTGTACAGGGAAAGCCCCTAGCAGGCCGGGCCGGTTTGTTTACCTGCCTCATCTGCAGGTTCGGCCGATCGCGGCTCCCAGTAGCCGTGGTTCTCTGCTCCAGGCCAATGGGAGCTGTTGGAAGCAGCGGCCAGTATGTCCCTCGGCTCACACCGCTTCCAGCAGTTCCCCTTGGCCTGGAGCAGCGAACCCCGGACACTGGGAGCCGTGATCGGGCGAACCTGCGAACGCAGCAAGTAAACAAACTGGCCCGGCCCGCCAGGGGCTTTCCCTGCAAGCGGCGGAACAAGTTTGGGAATCACTGCCATAGGGACTAAATCAAAGACTACAGTGTATCCATTCTGATATCTCAGAAATGCAACTACATCAATGGAACACCTCAAGGTAGTAAGCATTACATGCAGTATTTAGTGTTTGCAGGATCAGGCCCGAAAATATCATAATAAATGCACCTTATTCTTGGGATTTGTCCCTACTGCATTTGTAGCAAAGATGATATTTGCACCTAGTTAAAGTTACAGGCACTTTAAATCCTGTTGTGAGGAAATAGTTACACTTTCACTATTGCTAAATGACCGCAAGAAACAGCGACTAACCAAAGTTGACAACTGACTTGCCTCAGGACAGCTAAAAGTGTCAAGAAAACCTGTAACCTGGTTATAACCTGATTTATATAAACGTTTCTCAGAAATGTTTTCACAATATGCATAGGGCCTTAATTTCAATGGCACTGCTCACAGTAGTGAGCACAATGCTCTATAGCACCTCTCATGCTTATTGAGCTTATATGAAGCAAAGAATCCTGTCAGTAATGAATTTGTTTTATAATCATAATATAAACTGATCTATTTTTTAGCTATAAAGATGATACAATATAATTGGAAAATCTGATTTCAAGTTCTACAGCTAATAGTAAATAGACTGGTAATTTCTCCTTATGGCTAACGCTTTG